GAGGAGAGGAGGGAGGAGCGGGGCCGCAGAAAAGCATGATGGAATAGGGGGAGCCGAGTGAGGAGGAGCGGAGAAGGCACTGGAGAAGGGAGGGAGGAGGAGGGGCAGAAGTGTATGGAGGAGGAGCGGAGAAGGAGGAGGATGGGAGAAGGTGATGGAGTAGGGAGGAGGAGGAGGAGGAGGGAGGAGGAGAGAAGGGCTGCATGAGCTAGGGGGGAGGCAGGAGAAGAAGGACGAGGGGAAAGCGGGATGCAGTTAAGTGGGGAGGTAGGGAGCGAGAGGAGAAGTGATGGGGAGGAAGGGAGTGAGCAGCGAGAGGTGATTGGAGCCGCAGGAGGAGGAGAGGAAAATGAGAGAAGCTGATGGCAGAGGAGGCGAGGGAGAGGCAGAGGGAGAATAAAGGTGATGGAGGAGAGGAGGAGCTCGATGAGGAAGGTGAATGGAGTAGGGGGATGGAGGAGCGAGGAGAGAAGGTATTGGAGGAGGAGGAGGAGAGGCAGAGGAAGGTGATGAGGGAGGAGCGAGGCCAGGATGGAGGAGAGGAGCCCGAGAGAAGGTGATGCAGTAGGCGGGAGTGAGGAGGAGGAGGAAGGAAAGGAGGCAAGCGGAGGAGAAGGAGGAGGGAGAGAAGGATGAGGGCAGTAGGGGGGAGGACGGAGAGTGAGCGGAGAAGGCATGGATCAAGGGATGGAGGAGGAGGGGCAGAAGCGCGCATGGGAGAGCGGAGGAAAGGAGGAGCGATGGGAGAACGGTGCAATGGAGTAGGGGGAGAGGCGAGGAGGAGGATGGAGAAGAAGGTGATGGAAGGTAGGGCGGAGGGCAGGAGAAGAAGGACGAGTCGGGGAGAAGGGGATAGGACAGCTCAGTGGGGAGCGAGGCGGGGAGAAGGAGGGGCAGAAGGCTGGGTAGCAGAAGCGAGGGGGAGAAGGCCGAGAGCTGATGCAAAAGGAGGAGAAGCGTGGAGAAGGAGAAGCTACGGACCAGCTTTCTCCCGCCTCCTCTCCACCAGCTTCCTTTCTGCCCCTCCTTCTCCCCTTACCCTCCTTCTTCCACCAGGGCTTCTCCCCTCCTCCTCCACCAGCTTTTCTCCCTTTCTCCCTGTCCTCATTCCTATGCCGATATGGAGTCGGTCATGACCGCGCCGCCGTGCGTTATACCCATTATTGAATCTGCCCAGACTAATAAACTGTTTCTGCTTTGTATTTTGACAATTGGCCTAATACAACAACTTTGCCCTAAAACAAGATGCGTTAAAGACGCGACTGCTACTGACGGTGGCAGTCTCCAGTAACAGATCGCCTAATTTTGCTCCGCGCGCTTTACCACCCAGCCACCTCCGTGCGGGCCATGCCGTAGGCGCCCGATGCGGCCCAGTAGCGCCTAGGGGGTAATTTCAGACTGGGTAATCTCAGGACCCCGTGGACACGGCAGACCCTGGCCGGGGGACATAGACCCCTCATGAGCTATATAGTTACCAGTTATGATTCCATTCCATGAAACCCAGTGGGACACACGTATAAAAACAGCCCTATATTTATGCCTTTTTAAATAACACAGTAGGCCTACTATTGATAGTTACACTTTAAATGCACGGCGAACAATTTCCCAGCGCAAAAATTTGGGGCATAGCCAAATAGTGTGCTATGCAAAATAAATTTTGCATAGCCCAATTGCGCAAAATTTGTTATAGCATTTTCTTTCAGACAGATCACCAGTGCAAATTTACACCGCAATGCATGCTTGGCCGTTTATCGTGTCGGCCTGTGACAGCGCACAGCTAGCCTAAGCCTAGACACACTATAGCCATTCCTGTACGCGCTGCCGGCAGCGGCTTTAAACAGTATGCCTGAGCTTGGCACTCACCCGCTCGCCAATGTCGAGTGAAAAATAAATCGGCGGGCCGCGGTGAAAGCCTAAAGCCTGCACTTGCCCATTTGCGGGAGCTAAAATAATTGTCTAAAACTTAGACACAATGTTTGGTTTCTTACGTAAAGATATATCCAAACATATGATGAAATTACAGTTCTTAGCCGCATTGGTGAAGGGCCCGGCCTATTCCGAGCCTCCCTCGCACCGACCGACATCCTCCACTTTATATTATCAAGAGCCGTCGCCCGAAGAAAGGCAGGCCCGCGAGGAGCGTCTGCCGCCAGCACAGCGTGGCTGTGCTATGGCGTGGCCTGGGGCGGCATATTGATTGAGTGTAGCGCGGGGATCCGGGGGGGGCGGGGGGGGCGGGGGAGTGCAGGCGATTGTTTTAAACGTTACGTTGGCCTTGGTGTTAACAAAGTCCAACTAAAATCGAATTTGCACAGCAGGGAGATAGTTGCATCCGCTTAGAGGGCGCCATTAAATGCTAACACAAATACGCGCTCTGATGACTAATTTTGTCTTTCTATTATATTATAATTCGTTTATTCATTCTTTGCTCGCTTAATTTGTTATTATTTTAGAATTAGGGATAGGTTAGGGTTAGGCGTTAGGTTAGGCGTTAGGGGTTAGGTATACCTTACTAATGAAATCGCCCGTTAAGCGTTGCGCGTTTCCCATTGAAGGGAGGCAAAAGCACGCCCGAGCAATAACAAGTAAATGTAAACATGTAATGTTTCCGTTTACATCTCGCATGGGACTGCCATCGCCACAAACTGCGATTTCATAAAAAATACCGCTAGCAAAATGCGCTGAAAAATACATCCGAATTGCGCATGCGCACTACCGGAAATTATTCCCTGAAATGATTTCATCAACGATTTCTCATCTTTATTGTGTGTTTGACTCTTACTTGAATATTATTATCAATTTTTAGCTCATCTGATACAGTTATGGTGTCATGGATGCATTCTGAGTGTTCGGTGAAGAGAGCAGCGACAGCAGATCAGTCTCGTGCCATCCGCTCTAAACCTGTCCGTGTTATATCTTCTGCATTATCGTGAAGCGTGCGTCGCGCCGAGCGTCGTGGAATAAAAAATACTTGGATTTCAGCAACTCAATGGAGTGAGGTTATCACGCACGAAGGGTGATGCCATCTTTGATTATTGATGACACTTGCACGCGCAATGTCACGGCAACTGCTTTTGCTATTTGAACCCCCTCCACTCGCCCCCTCCCTCCACTTTTCCCCCACCACCACCACTACGCTCGCGCTCGACGCATATCCACGATAACATGTTAATATAGCGAAGTCATTAAAGTTACACAGCTGTATCTTTATTACTGTACTACCAGTAGGTATAGCAAAGCCTACATAGATTTTAGATATGTATTAGTAGTATCCTAGATATACGCTCTGAGCGCGAACGCGGTGGCAGGAGGGCGCACTTGATTCGGTTGTTCGGTTGCCAGTGAGTTTCTCGGAAGAATACCCGGCTACAGTACACGTCAGTTGAGCGCTGTCGCTCTGTGGCACTTGTTTAATTATCATTTTAACTTGCAGCATAGACTTATCTAGCTATGCAGGCTTCAGCGTCTAAATACATAAATTAAAATAAGTTTCAGGTGGTAACTAGCTGGCACGTGTAACTGGTGTCCCTACACCAACTAAACACCTTTACCCATCCACGTACTGCACTGTCCTGTCTCACTTGATGTTAGATCCTAGCACCTATACTAAATGAATAATATCTCAGAATTAGATTCCATATGGATACACCACTTCTTGCTAGTTCTTTAACCAAGTTGTTTTCTACACTTTCTCCTATTCCACTATTCTGTTCAAAACAGTTCAGGACTGCACTGGTTAATTTTTGTCTTACCACATTTACGCTTCAGCGCAGGTTTAACTACCAAATTGCGCGTTGCACTTGGCAAAGCGGGTGGAGCAATGGGAAGCGGTGGTCTCCAGGCATATTTAAGTGGATGTGTCCATGCTTTCGCAATCCTCAAGGCTTAATCACTTTATTTGTCCCCTTTCTGAATTGCTTCCTGGCCTTGGACTTCAGCTTTTGTGCTATTACTTTAGTATTAGGAAAATAACCTTTTTCAGCGATCTGTTGGACACTGCATTAAGGCGGGCTTATATGTCGGGCTTGCGAGCCGACTCGACTGGAAGCAACTGGCTGCAATTCACTGCGACTGCAGTGCTTAGGTCGGTCGAATGCGACGCAACTGCCTGCTACTGGCCGCCACTAGTTGCTCGGAATAAAACAGTGGGCAACTGGATGCAACTAGTCGCTGCCGATCGCTTCCAGTTGCTCGAAATCCAGTTGCTTCCAGTCGAGTCGGCTCGCAAGCCCGACATAAGCCCGCATTTACAGAAAATGTGAATACGTGGAGAACAAAGCTGATTTCGATTTGCCATGCACTATATTAACATCGCAATCAACTCTACATGCCTTCGTGAACATCAGTGTGCATTTTAGGTAAGTGAACTGCACTGGACCCTCGCGCAACAGAAAGACGCACAGTGCGTGCCTACAGTTGGGAGAAGAATGTCAGACCTGCATGCTGCCTGTTCACGTGGGGACGTTGAGAAAGTGTTAGAACTTCTGCGAGGTGGAGCGAAAACATCGTGCGTGAACGTACGCATGGAGACGCTTCTCTACGTCGCCTGCGCACTTTCGCGGGACAGGACGGAAGAGAAGATGGAGATTGTGAAACAGCTGCTGCTGCATGACTCGCCCCTGCAAGAGGAGGATGAGCGCGGGCGAACGCCGCTCATGCTCGCCTGCGAAACAGCCAGTACGGATGTTGCAGCCACGCTGCTAGACAATGGAGCGGACCTCCGCGCGCGTTACCGTGGCGACGGAACGATGCTGCACGCAGCCGTGGCCGGTGGGAATGCGCGGGTCCTGTCGCCGGCTTGCTCTGGCCAGCTGGACATCGTGCGCCTGCTACTGGAGGCCGGCGCCGACCCCAACGTCGCCATGGCGAAGAGCGGGATGACGGCCCTGATATTGGCGGTGAGTAAGGGCGAGGAGGCGGTGGTGCGGATGCTGCTCTCACACGGCGCCGACCCCAACGCCGCGGACTCGCACGGACGGACCTCCCTGTACTACGCGGCTTGCTCTGGCCAGCTGGACATCATGCGCCTGCTACTGGAGGCTGGTGCCGACCCCAACGCCGCGGACTCGCACGGACGGACCTCCCTGTACTACGCGGCTTGCTCTGGCCAGCTGGACATCGTGCGCCTGCTACTGGAGGCCGGCGCCGACGCCAACGTCGCCATGATGAATGCGGTGAGGGAGGGCAAGAAGGCGGCGGTGCGGATACTGCTCTCACACGGCGCCAACCCCAACGCCACGGACTCCCACGGACAGACCTCCCTGTACGACGCGGCGCGCTCTGGCCGGCTGGACATCATGCGCCTGCTACTGGAGGCCGGTGCCGACCCCAACGTCGCCCAGAAGATGAGCGGAGAGACTCCGCTGGTGAGGGCGGCGTGGGTGGGCAAGAAGGCGATGGTACGGATGCTGCTCTCACACGGCGCCAACCCCAACGCCGCGGACTCGTACGGAGACACCTCCCTGAACTACGCGGCTTGCTTTGGCCTGCTGGACATCATGCGCCTGCTACTGGAGGCCGGTGCGGTTCCAAACGCCGCGGACTCGTACGGACGGACCTCCCTGCTCATCGCGGTTCGCTTTGGCGAGCTGGACATCATGCGTATGCTACTAGAAGCCGGCGCAGATCCAAACGTCGCCGAGACGGAAGAAAGGGGGAGTTTCACCGCGTTACACCTCTCCTGTGTTCGACTTCAAACCGAGGTAAAACTACGGGCGTACGTTGCGAATGATTGAGACCGAATTTTAGCAATGTCCTAATGTATTTTCTTATAGATGGTAAAGGTAATCAGTAATAGTAATCGGTTAATAGTTAATAATATATGTGTTAAATAGTTTTACCGCATTACACTACTCCTGCAATCTACTCGGGACTGATGAAAAATGCGGGCGTACGTTGTGAACGACGGAGACAATTTTTGCGATGTTCCAATGTATTTTTATCTAGATAATGAAGGTAATCAGTAATAGTAATCGGTTAATAGTTAATAATTTAATAATAGTAATAGTTAGTAATCGACAACAGTAATAAATGTAGTATGCTCGAAGAAACTTGTTCTTTAAGGAACGAACGTAAAATCGGGTTGTTAACGATTTTCGATTCTTTCGTTCACACAGATTATTACTCACCTCTTGAAACACGGAGCTGACCCGAACCTCGTCGATCGTAACAAGAGGACGCCGCTCGCTATAATAGGCAGCGAGGTGGAGGTGAGAATCTCCAGAGAGAGCTGGCGAGCAGAACAAGCGGAGTCGGTGGTACAAGCGGCTTCAGCTCTCCTACAGACGTGCGAGTCCGCCGGCGTACTTCTACAGGTTAACACGCGCGACAGTGAGGGCGACACCCCGCTGCACAGCTTCTGTAGGATGATGCTTGCATGGAAAGACGATGTTTACGCGCGAGAGAGGGAAGGGTGCTTGCAGATAGTGCACGCGCTGGTGTTCAACCACGGCGCACACGTCGACGTGGTGAACGCACGGGGAGAGACTCCGTACAAACTCTGGTGCCGGACGAGTTTCCACGGCAACGGGGAGTTGAGCGACGTGATACACCGCAGAATGAGAGCGCAGTATCATTCGCTAAAGTGTCACTGCGCGCGCGTTATCATCAGACACAGCGTTGCATACGAGAACAGGCTGCCTCCGAGTCTCATAGAATTTGTCGGGGCACACGCTAGACCGACACAACGTAGGCGACACTAAGCGTGTTAACCGAGGAAGCCCATGTAGGATCGGAGATATGCGATAACCCAAAAGATATTATCAATACTTAGTAGATCTATGTTCTAATTGTTGCACGTGTTGGCAGACATTGCAATGTAAAATCGAGTATATGTAGTAACACTATTCAGCTTATATAGAAATGTGTAGATTATCGGTATGATGCCTTGGTGAATTGGCGCGATTTAATAACCACGAGTACAAATGTTAAAAGTTTGCAAATCATTTTGCTCTGTAAAAAAATCTAAAGGCTTAGTTGCGTTCTGAATATTTAAAAAAATAAAAAACCATTTTACCATGAAATGTATGCAATTCGGAAAGTACTTAACTATTACCACCAGAATCACATATTTGATGTGCTCCTGCTACCACACACCACCAACAAATATAATCATTAATGACTCACTGTTCAGACGATCCACTTGTCAGCCAGTATAAACATAACTCAGAGTGAAAGATAACACACATAGTTTATTCGTCCACTTCTTGTTCCTCCATCTTCCAACTACCACGATCACACCACGTGACCCTTCACACGTACAGGGCGGGAACGCATAGAACAAGACTACGCGGTGTGATACATACCTATTAATAGGGTATATATATATATATA